GTTAGGCTGCTCTTCTGTAATTCCACAGATCTGGATATAAACCCTTGCACTGCCCTATTTGCATCAGCAGACATGGATCTGGGGCTGTCATTGACAAACATGCTCCTGAGTTGTAGTTCTGCAGAAGGCTTCCCACTTTCTCCTGTCTCCATTTCATTCTCCTACGGGCGGGCAGACAGAGGAGATAATGACACTAACGAGAGGCAGAGAAGCTCAGGCCTTAGCACTTTACCAAATGCCTCCTTGCTGCTTTCTCCCTGACTGTGAAAAAGGTTCCCAAATCCTCTTGTAAAGCCCACATTTTGTTTCATGCTTCCTTTGCTTTTATTTTTCCTGCAGGTAAAAAAGCCAAAATCTGAAAGAAATATTTAATCTAAAAAAATAGTCTCGAAAAAAAATTTCACAAGATAATATTGGGATCAACCCTAGCTTTTGGTGGGGTTGAGGCATTTTACCACTGAATTCTGAGTAGTCCTGAGAAACTTGGTTCTTTCACAGCAGTAATGCAGAGTTGTGGTGTGACATAAATCATGTTACCCTGAAGCACGACACAAATACCATTCTACATAAAAGAACTGCCTATACTTTCTGTGTTCCCTCTGTAAAAGAAAAAAGTCTGATTTCAACACCTTTTTTTTTGTTGTTGTTCACTGTACACTGCTTTTTCCTGTCCTGCACGCAAATAAATCTCTTTAGGTTTTTGTCTCCCTTGTAGGACAGGAACTAAAAAAAATCCACAGTTACAGGTTTTGGATTCTAATTGCCACCTTGCACCCTTTCTCCTCTTGGCTTTTTAAAAACTTTGTTCTGCATTGCTATGCAAACGCTAAAGAATTGGAGCTCTTATCTGATACAATAAATTAAGCGATAGAAAAGGTTTATCTGAATAGCAGGAGCTACACACAGAATTTAATGAAACGATGTGTCTGTAGGATGCACCTCTATATTTGAATAATGCTAAAAGTAAAAGGCTATTGAATTTAACAGTCAAACAGAAATTACAAATGTTTAAAATAATGCAGTGACTTCACACTCATCAAGTGTTGTAATACAATGACTGTTACTTCCTTTTTTTTTTGATGATTTCTGATGAGTCACAGAATGACAGAACGGCAAAGGTTGGAAGGGACCTCTGGAGATCGTGTAGTCCAACCCCCCCCTGCTCAAGCAGGGGCCTCTAGAGGACATTGCACAGGATTGCATCCAGGAGAGCTTCAAACATCTCCAGCGAAGGAGACTCCACAACCTCTCTGGGCAACCTCTGCCAGGGTGCAGTCACCCTCACAGGAAAGAAGCTTCTCCTCATATTCCGATGACACTGCCTGTGTTTCAGTTTGTGCCCGTTGCCTCTTGTCCTGTCGCTGGGCACCACGGAGAAGAGTCTGGCCCCATCCCCTTGACACTCCCCCTTCAGATACTTGTACATGTTGATGAGATCCCCCCTCAGTCTTCTCTTCTCCAGGCTGAAGAGGCCCAGATCTCGCAGCCTTTCTTCAGAGGAAACATGCTCCAGTCCCCTCATCATCTCTGTAGCCCTCTGCTGGACTCTCTCCAGTAGTGCCATGTCTCTCTTGTACTGGGGAGCTCAGAACTGGACACAGTACTCCAGGCGAGGCCTCCCCAGGGCTGAGTAAAGGGGCAGGATCACCTCCCTCCACCTGCTGGCAACACCCTGCCTAATGCACCCCAGGAGACCATTGGCCTTCTTGGCCACAAGGG